TTGTTTAAACTGTTATTTCTTTCATTTTCAAAATTCAAAGGGAAGAGCAAGTTATTTTGGTTTCTAGTACAAATGTTTCACACACGCGTTATTATCTTTTAATCGACAAAAATATCACTGTCCCACTTTTATGTATCCCGTTGACTACCATATAGACTTTAAACAGTGACCTTATCTTCTGGTTGTTTATACTAGTTACTTTATCTTCTAGATGAAATTAGTGTCATATTACACAATTGGATCATATGTTTTTAGTTTTTAAAATTTAAACAGCTATTGCGAAATTGCATTATTATATTTTTATTATAACTCACACCTCCATTACAGCCTCGATCAAGGGTGTTTTTTTTTTTTGGGGGCCTTGCCATCAAGAGTTCAAACTTAAAAACTAAAACATTAAGTGATTTTACTAAAAAAAAAAAGGCAGATATTTGCTTTGTGTTAGCATAGTTATAGGTGGTTTGGATTAGCTTTTTAAATTAATTTTTCAAAGTCCAAGTAAATAAGTGATATGAGTTTTGTTTCGATTTGTTTGAAGATATTTTGTTTTTTTAAATTACTTATATGTTACCAAATACAAGACCCGAACAACAAAAGCACTGGAATTTTTTTTTTTCTATATATCCAATGCAGAGGATAATAATTTGAAAGAATGTGACTTACTTAAGAGATTATATTTAGTATCTGATAGTGTTTTAAATATGATTGTTTTTAATAAAACCCAAAAAAAGAAAAATATGTTAAATATGAACCAAAAAAAAAGAAAAGAAATGTATGTGTTGTACGATAAACTTTGGGATTGTTATCCGAGGGAAAACGTGGTTGAAATATCAGATCGTCCAAAGAATATTTAAAAGAGCAAGGTCCAACGAAGCAATTAGTGAAGAGAGTGAAATCAACCCCCACCCCGATTTGTCGTTTGCTATGCCTTTTTCTATCTGAAGCTTCGGTGCGTTTCAATTCCATGGTTTCTACGGTTTGTGGAAGGATTTATAGTTTTTAATTACATACTTTCTTCTATAGATTGTGTTGGTTATGTGACAACTATATATAGCTAGTGTAAAGTTCTCATCAAGCATTGACAAAGTATGAACCAGTTAAATTCAGATTATAATTTTACGAAAATTTAGAGATGAATTCACACTGCCACACACACACACATATATTGGAAAGGAAATTAATAAATATTTCCTTACCAACTCAAGACTCATCCTACATTTAAATGTATTATCTCCGGTTCTTAATATAAGACTTAGTTGACCAATTTGGAGAGACTAAAAAAATTAGATAAATTAGTTATTTGTAGTGAATAGATGTTGTTTTTACTGAAATGTCCTTATTAATCATGTGTGTTTGGATTACAAATTGATAGTAACTTCTTAACGTATGCAATTACTATAGGGATTACATGAGGAAAAATGGATAAATATTGAAAACAAAATGGATTGGGGTCTTATATTTAGAAACAAATTAAAAATCAAACTAGCTCTTATATTAAGGAGTTGAGGTAGTAAATTACTCACAATAAGAGAGATGTCACTCATAAATGACTTTCTCCTAATTATTTTCCTAGTAAATCATAAGTTTACCGGGTCATAAAAGATTCCTACAAAAGCAAGTAGAATAAATTATATCAGACTAGAGTGGGAATAACAGAAACGCAGATAAGGGCATAATAATAATTTAACACTTAGTGGTAGACTTGACTACGATGAGTTGGGCTGGATGTGGTGGATTCTGATATTTATTTGCTTCCACCTTCTTTGACTGTTACCTTCGGGTCCATCCCTACTCTACTTTCAGGTAATTTATTCAAATCTCTCTCTCTCTCTCTCTGTCTCTCTCTGTGTGTGGAAATCTTGCGTCTCTCTTCTTAATTACTGTTATTTTTAACTCAGTCCAGAGAGAAGAAGGTGAAAGACAAAAAAACTCTCGAGGTTTTCTAAAGTTTCTTTTAGTATTAACACACGTTGCATCGTTAATGCAACGTGTGTTAATAAAGGCACGGGTATAAGTGTGAAAGTAAGTGCGAAAGTAAGAGCAAAAATGAAGTTAGTAACCCTAATAAAGGTACGGGTATAATTTAGAGAAAATTAACACTAACGTATACTATAAAACCATAACAACTTGTATTGTAGATTATAAATGATCGTGTGAGTTATTTTTCAAAATTTGATGTACGCAAAAACACCATGTGCGGCTATTTTTTGTGCAAAAAAAAGAAGATATTTAATAGCCACCAAGCTAATCGTTGGATTAATTAATACTCTTCTAGTCCTTAATATAAGACCCATTTAAGTAATTTGATTAGGTTAAGAAAGTTAGGTAAATTAGTTAATTATAAGAAATATGACATGTTTTTCCTAATACACCATAATCATATTTCTTAATACCTCTCTCCCTCTTCTACTTGTTTATAGTTGAGGGAGTATCTATAGAGATAATTTATATAGAATTGATAAATATGAAAAATGGGTCTTATATTTAGGATCAAAACCACTTTAACAATTAGATTTTATATTAAAAACTGAAAGAGTAATAAGAATCATACTAGTCGTATAGTAAAACAAAGATATTTAATATTGTTGTTCATCTTAAAGTTGTGCGTTATATATAGGTAAAAAGCAGAATGATTGCTGCAGTATTCTAATAATAATTTAACACTTAGTGGTAGACTTGACTACGATGAGTTGGGCTGGATGTGGTGGATTCTGATATTTATTTGCTTCCACCTTCTTTGACTGTTACCTTCAGGTCCATCCCTACTCTACTTTCAGGTACTTATTCAAATCTCTCGTTCTCTCTCTCTGTGTGTGGAAATCTTGTGTCTATCTTGTTAATTACTGTTATTTTTAACTCAGTCGAATTAGAAGAAGGTGAAAGACCAAAAACTCTTGAGCTTTTCTGAAGTTTCTTTTGGTATTAACAAGCCTTGCATCGTTATTTAACATCCCTCTCTGGTTAGTCGCTTTCAAATTACTTGAGAGGCTATATATTCATCTGGATGGGTTGGCTGGTTTGTGTCTTAGAGAGAGAGAGAGAGAGAGAGAGAGAGATGTTTGATATTTAATTAATCCGTGTTCTAGGCTGTGGTTGTGTTTGGCTATAGAATCTGGGAATGAAATGGCAGGCTCGTTCGAGGCTGAATCACCAGAGAAGCGACGCGCTCCTTGCTTGTGCTTGCGTGCACATCGTATCCACACGTAAATTTGCTATCCTGTCCTCGTCTTCTTCAATCTTCATGGTCATGTTAATAAGTTAGAGTCTTGAAAAGTAATACTCCTATTATCCATATAAAATCTAATTTGTAATGTAATTTATATTATAAAATTAGTTTTATTGGGGATTAGGAGTAAGTTCCAAATTTTGAATCATTTCTGGCATTGTTTTCCAAAGTTTTAATTAATTATTTCACTAAAGTATATATTTAGTATTTTAACTTCATATAAGGTTTTAATTCAGGCTCCTCACTTTAAAAAGTATAAAATTGATCCTTTAATCCTAAAATTATTAGACTTCAATAATGATTTTGTAACAATCATAGTTATTTTGAAAATTAAACTTAATATATTAATATTTAAGAATATTTTATCAATATCTAAGATATCATTATCATTATTTTTTTGTTAATAATTTTATGGTTAAAAGACTAAAAGTATAGTTTTTAAAGCTAAAGGCGTATATTGAAACTTTTTATAAAATTAAAGAATTAAAGATATACTTTATCCTAATTATTTTATATAAATTAAGAATATTATTTAAAATTAATATTTTAGATAAATCAATGTTATGTTATATTATTTTTATTCTTGTAATAACAAGGATAAAGGGCGGAAATTTTCAATTATAAACCATTTATTTCGCCTTGCCCGTGAAAAATACAAGAAGAAAAGTGAGGAGGCCGCTTCATAGGAGGGCATGACGTTAGCATGATGACGTCATGCTACAATAATTGCTCGGTTCCCGGGGACCATCTTTTTTGTTTGTTTAGACACTTGTACCAAAAATAATTATAAAATTCAGCCAATACTCTAATTTTATTTTGTTTAGATATATTAATATTCTGATTTTTTTTTTACAATGCATCTTACACTGTGGTATTATTTTTGTGATTATATTGAATACCCGAATATTATTTTTCAATTAAATTTATTACTCTAATTTTTAAAGTGTTTAATGTACCAATAGATTTAGCTTTACCTTTTTAATTAACCTGAAAAATATTACTTCTATGTTATAAATAACAATGCTCTATTCTTTTCTCTCTTGTTGCCCTATTTTATCATTTTTTAGTAAAGAATAATGAAATCGGTTTACTCAATATTTGTGCGTGGAGTATGCATGTGCCTGCACGGCTAAACTTTTATGTTAGTAGAAATTAAATACTAACTCCAATCCATAATATAAGACCTAATTAATTAATTTAAGAATATTAAAAAAATTAGTTAAATTAGTTATTTGTAATAAATAGGTATTATCTTTTCTAAAATACATCTGCTAATTATGTGTATTAGCTAAAATTACTATTTGATAGAACATTTAACATGCACAACTATTATAAGGATTATTTTTAAAAAAAATGGATAAATATGCAAGACAAAGTGAATTGGGACCTTATATTTAGAATCAAATTAAAAGTCAAACTAACTCTTATATTAAGGATTGGAAGTAGTATTATTTATTATTATTTTCAGTTGAGATTTTTCAAAAGTATTACTTTCAATTACTTTTTCACATTCTAATAAATAATTTTGGATTTTAAGAAGCTCCTCCTACTTACTAAATTTAAAATATTTTTATTCATAACAAGTTTAATTAATTTATAAACTAGAATAAATTTAAAAGTCTGGTATATATGCCCAAAAATGCATAAAATATATATATTTAGTAAAATGTATGATTTTTTTGGTTGGAAAGAATTAGCAGGAGGCTGCTGCCGCATCCATACGATAAATAAGAGAACAGAACTAGCTGTCAGCTTTATGATTCAAGAGCTCGGTTAACTCATGCATGAGCGCCCTTTGTGAGTGCTCTAGCAGAGCCAAAACTTCATTAACCAATCCTTCAACAAAACAGAGTTTTGTTCCTCACACGCCATAGCCAGCTTCAAGCATAACATACCCAAATTTATCCTCTTCAAATCAAAGAGACCAACTAATTTTTGAACACAAATACTGTCCTTTCTTGACAAAGACATGGCCGTAGCAGATGAAAGTTCTGTGACTATACCAACACAACAACTTCAAAGGGTTGCTTCAGCTCAGTTTAGAACGCCTAACCTTAATCTTATAGATCCCACACGTACGATCTCTCATCTCATCTCATCTCTTTCTCTTTAGTGTGTTTCCATTTATATTACAATCTATATATAAAAGGTTTCCATTAATTAACTTGTTTCAGAAGAAAGAAGAGACAAATACACAAGGTTTTGTGTTCCTCTTCACAAGGCAGCACTGAAAGGTGATTGGAAAGCGGCAAAGCATATCTTAGATCAAGACCGGGGTCTAGCTCGCGCCGCCATAACCAAGGGGTGGTCGACGGTTCTCCACGTGGCTGCCGAAGCGAACCATGTTCACTTCGTGGAAGAGCTGGTGAAGGAAATGGATCGAGAAGACTTAGAATTGCAAGATCAGAAAGGGAACACTGCATTCAGCTTTGCTGCAGCAGCTGGAAATATGCAGATTGTTGAGATCATGAAGGAAAAAAACAACAGTTTGCCATGGATAAGGGGTGGTGCAGGAGTCACTCCTCTTCACATGGCTGCTTTACAAGGACAAAGTGACATGGCTTGGCATTTGTACGCTGAAACTATTCAGGTTTTTGAAGATGTTGATCGGATAGTACTGCTCTTCTACTGTGTCTACAGTGGAATATACGGTAAGAATATTACACATACATGAACCAAACATGGGACCAAACAAGATGGCGAGTATCAAATTTTGAAGTGTGATGCACACCGACACACATATATATCTTGTGCTAAACATATCAGTCACACATACTTTTATGCATTGATTTGTGCAGATTTAGCCTTGAAGTTGCTAGAGACGTATCCAGATCTAGCTTTTGAGAGAGATACGCGAAACAATGAGACAATATTGCATATATTGGCTCGAAAGCCCTTAAGTTCTATTTGTCAAAGTCAGAGATATAGAAAGCGGCTCATGAAGACTTGTAAGTCTTCATGATCACAAATTACGAAAGATATAATTATGATAAAGTCGGTTTATGATACATATGAATTGTATTTCCCAGGTTTGAGGCAAACACAACAACTTCAACTAGTAAAACACTTGTGGAGTATATTCCTTGCAAAAGATGATGGAATGATTATGGACAACATAAGAGAACCTGCACAAGTAACGTTTATTGCTGTAGAAGTTGGGAACTTTGAATTTCTAGCTGAGCTTATAAGCACCTATCCTGATTTGATATGGGAAGTTAATGGAAGAAATCAAACCATAATTCATGTTGCAATTTTGCGTCGTTATGCTGATATCTTTAATCTCATTCATGATATTGGCCGGCTCAAAGATTTCATAGTAGGTTTTGAGGATTCTGAAGAAGAAGGAAACTTATTGCATATGGCCGCAAGATTAGCACCGCAAGATCGATTAAACATAGTTTCTGGAGCCGCTTTCCAAATGACCTTTGAGTTATCATGGTTTGAGGTATTTTGCTGCAAATAATATTTAATCTATCTCTATTACTTACATATGTTCTTATTACTTGATGCATCTTGTATATTGTAGAGGAATAGGTTAGGGCTTGTGACTGCAGTTTGTTATAAATTTTACACCGTTCATATAGTATATTCTTTTATATGGCAGGAGGTGAAGAAGATAGTGCCACCGTCATTGATAGAGATGAAAAATGTAGATGGCTTGACTCCTCGCCAACTATTCACAGAGGAGCACAAAGACTTGCTAAAAGAAGCAGAATCATGGATGAAGAAAACAGCAAAATCCTCCATGCTTGTTTCCACTCTCATTACTACTGGAGTGTTTACAGCTGTGTTCAGCATACCAGGTGGTATTGATGACAAATCAGGAAACCCTAATTACTTGGGGAAACCATCATTCCTGATATTTGCCATATCTGATGCGATTGCAATGATCTCATCGTCAACTTCCATACTGATTTTCTTGTCCATCCTCATCTCACGTTATGCAGAAGATGATTTTCACAAGTCATTACCCTTGAAGCTCATATCTGGTTTGGTTGCTTTGTTCATCTCCATAATAAGTATGATGATAGCATTTAGTAGTGCCTTTTTCATCATGTTTTGTCATGGTTCAAAGTGGGTTCCTAACTTTATTTCCGCACTTGCTTTTATACCTATACCCTTGTTTGTGTTTCTGCTATTCCCACTTTGGTCTGATATACTTTATTGGACCTACTTTTGTAGGAATATTTTTCGACCTAGTAAACATATGCTTTACTAGGAAGATAAGTGGACGTCATTTCCGAGTGGTGTATCTCTCTTCTAGTAGTTAATCACTGTGCTTTTGTAGTATGAGTTTGAGAATTAATAAGGAAATTTCCTTTTCAATGTGGTAGTGTTAATTCATCTCTAAATTTTCATTGATTTATAATTCATATTTTATTTTATACTCTGTCAATGCTATATCATTTGTATATTTATCACGTAGCCATCACGTACCATTTGTAGAAGAACATATGCTTAAGAGTTTGTATATAATACCCATTTTGATATTCAATGTAAGGGCTATTTGAAGGATTCATTTTAATCCTAAATGTAAGATTGAAATTCATATTGTCCTTTAATTTATAATTTTTTCTCAAATTATAAATATAAAAAGTGGGTTTCCATCAATGTAAGTATTTTTAGTGCAAATGATTGAATGTGTATTTTAAGAAAATTAACAAATATTTCTTTACAAATACCTGATTTTTTGTAATCTGTGTAAATTAATTATCTAGCCTCTATATTTATAGCAAGGGGAAGTAACTAATTAATGTAAATGATCCAATGACAAAAATCTCTCTTTTCTTAGAGAGATAATACAACAATGAAAATATCCTAAAGCCGTGACAATCACTGGCCTACGGAGTTGTATATAAATCCTTTCTCACTTCATGATTAAATATTTCTCTTGATTGGAAAAAGTTATATAGTTGATCGACCTCTAGTCTATCAACTATTACCTTTGGTCCTAATTATAAGAGCCAATTGACTAATTTGAGGAGATTAAGAAAGTAAGTTGAGTTAGTTATTTGTCCTAAATAGGTGGTCTTTCCTAAAATATCCTTGCTAATCAAGTGTATTGACTAGAACTCTTATTATTAGAAGGGTTACTTTAGAAAAAAAATATAAATATGAGAGACAAAGTGGATTGTGGTCTTATATTTAGGACCAAAATAAAAGTCAAACAAGATCTTATATTAAGGATCGGAGGCAATATATTCTATTCTGTAATATGCATGTTACTGTCCATTTCACTTTTGTCACCCACGTACTCCTTGGCCGCAAACAAACATATCATATCAAAACTTTTAATTTTAAGGATGCTTTTCATCTTACAAATATGGTTAAGTAATTGAATAAAGGCCTCAGTTCATTCTGTATTTTGATTGTCGGTTGGATTCGATTTAAACAATATTCCCAATTGAGGATAGTGATGAAAAGTTTGGAAAGTGAAAAAAAAAAAAAGGCCAAAAGTACGAATCATATAGGAAAAGAATTTAATAACTTAGTATAAATGTAAAAATTATTAAATTTAGATACAGAGGGGGACTTGCTTTAAGTATACATGCAAAACCCGAATATAATTTGTTCCTTTTCAAAAAACTGTTCTTAATGGTCTTAGCATGTTATTTGCACTTTTTTCTTAAGTTATGTATTACTTATATTCCTTAAAAGCATGTTGCAGTCTTTTTTCTTTTCCCAGGCGAGGCCAGATCTAGGTTCATCCAAGTAAAAGTAGACTTTATAACTAGATGGTGACAAAAAAAAAAAAAGGAACAGAGCTTTCATACATACTTACAAATTATTTATCAACAATAATGTTTTGACATCAATTGTAGATCTAAATTCTTCCATTCAAATGGTATTGCTCACAAATAGATAAATTTATTCTTTTGAACATAACAAGATACATTTATTTGAATTAAAAATTAATTTAATTAGAAGTCCTTATAATTATTGATCTTAATTTGAATTAAATCTCTGTATTTTGTTTTTGTTTAAATCGGCTCTTTAAGTTTGATCTGTTATATGCATTCCATCCCTGAGTGTACAAACTACTAATTTAAATCTATACAAATTCATGGGCTCTTTATAGAATCTATATCATTGCATTTCATGCAAAAAGAATCGAATTCAAACAACTTAAATTACACTACCTGATTTGAAATTGAGGTAAACTACTAGGATTTGTGGATGATGTTTTCAATTATCTAATGATGTATAAGAATATACGGACACATGTAGTGATAATGAGCAAATGCTAAAAGTTACTCCTTCCGTCTTTAACGTAGAACATAATTGAAGACTTATTTTTCATCTTTATCCATTTTTTTCTCAAACTAACTCTCATATTCTCCCAGCAATAATAATGAAGTAGAAGAGAGAGATAGGGAAAATAAGAAAATGATTATGTGTTTTAGGAAAAAAAAAATCATATTAACTAATTTAACTAATTAATTTTATTAATGTACTCAAATTAATTAATTACTATTACCTCCAATACTAATTATAAGATCTTGTTTGTAGGACCGGAGGTAGTATATCTTAAGGACCAGAGAAGTATTACATTTCTTTTTCATCTTTTCGTGTGGGAGGTGGGGCATTTGATGAGTGAGAGTCTTGGAGCATATAGGAAATAACGAGGAAGGAATATGAAAGTTCAAATGCACACACTTCGTATTAATAATTCCAAAGTGGAAGACTTAAGACTTGTGAGGGGGAAGAACCTAATTGCCGATCGCTATCTGCTTTTTCTTTACAAGAAGAGGACTGAATTTGGAAGCATTTGTGGAAGAATTCAAGTAGTAATATAATTTTCCAATTAATTGATTGAGCGGACTCAGTGGATTTGAACAGAAGATGAGGATAAGGATGATGACATCCTCGACAAGATGAATCTATGTAGGCCACCTCGATCTCTCATATATTGTGGTCCAGGAAAAGCGTGTAGAAAATACTCCACCTCATTCTAAACATAAGTATGTTTTAACTAATTAATTAATAGTAAAAAATTAATTTAAATTATTAAATTTATCATAAAATTCAAATGATTTCTAATGTTATTTGTATTACCTATGCTAAAACTCTATCATTAAATTCTATTCTCTCTTCCTACTTTTATTGATTATGGATATATATAACATACACATGTGGAAGAAAAGTACTACTCGGTCCTAAATATAAGTTACTCATAAGGAAAGTTTTGATCCTCAATGTAAGTAACTTGTAGTGTATGTGTATATATATTTAATGCTTCTTTTCTAATTTTATCCTTACTTCATTTCATTGGAAAGAGAGAAAGAAGAGGAAAATATGAGAATGATTTGTAATTGGGGAGAAGGAATTTTAATAAGAGTAAAATTAAATCTTTTTATTAATTTAACGCATTCCTTAATACACAAGAATTTGTGGCAATTGACTCATGTTAAATACTTCCTTTACTCTTTGTGTTGTGTTCCTATATTGCTTTGGTTAAATACAAGGAACTAAAAACCTCACCATCCCATGAATCAATTAAGATAGTGGATCAAGGATTAGTAGGTCCAATCAGAGTTAACCCTGGAGTCAAATAGGTCAAGAACAAAAGTTCAAAATTAATTTAAATTCTCATCATACCATCCAAAAAGATTAAATATCAATTCAATATATTAAATCACTAACAAAATAATCATATACTTACATTTTCTTTCCAACTTTCTCTACAATTACCTTGATGAATTGGCATCATAGCATTATACTATTAAAATAATTATATATTCACTCTAGCAAAATATCAAAATAGATTTATGGTAACAAAATATTCCTACCTACATTCCTTTAGATACTAAACTAATAATTATCAATAGCTTCAAAAAAAAAAAGAAGAAAGAAAATGAAGTCATTTTTTGGCATTAAAACAACTTTAGAATTTTTTTTTTAAAGAAAACATAACTAGGTGTTCACCTAAAAGCTCGAACACAAGTAGATGGGTCACAAGCAGTATAAAAAAAAAATCGTTCCCTCAAATACTAAGGCTAGACAAGTTAAAAAATTATAATTGTGCTTTTGATTAGGTTAAGTGAAATAATTATCGTAAATGAAGTTGTGTAATGTAATTTGAAAACAGAGATCGAAATTGAAATAAAATAAAATTGACTTTGAGACAAATAAGGCCTAGGGTTATTTCTCACTAATGCACTTCATAAGACTTGAATAATAACTTCTCAAATGGAGGTTAACAATAAGTTAAGTTAGTCAAGGGTTCACAAATATTGATTAAGCTTTCTTAAGTCAAAAACCAAGTTTTGCAATCTTAATTAAACTTCACAATCTCTTGCTTTTGTTTAAAAAGGTTACACTTTGAAAACTGAAACCCTTTTGGATGATGCTAGGTCTATATATGTATCTCTATTCTATCAACAAATCATCTATTTAATAAGATAAATTTCCAGTTTAGTATGTTTTTACCCAAGTTTAAAAATCAATTTAACTGTCTCAAGCTTAAACCAATCAACAAGTCAGTCCAAATGGTGGCCATTTACAAAGAAGCAATAAGCTCAAGATAAAAAACAATATAACATTATCATTAACACTAAAGAGAGAGTTAAAACAAGTCTTAATCCATACAATAGATCAAAATAACCCTAGAATGACTATTCTAGCTACACATATTCAGCAAGAAGATACAAACACATGAATATTTTGCAGCCATTACAAAAACAAAGGAGAAGAGAAGAAGAAAACCAAGGAAAATGAGGGAATAAGCTTTCAATCTCTTGCAACTTCAAGCCTAATGTTCCTAAACTTCAAAACCTCCAAACCCGAGCAAAGAGCACCTCCAAATAAGCCTCCAAGTCAAAGTCTCCTTGAAAATCACAAGTCCTCCACACTTATATGCCCTAATTTTTAAGTTACAATGCAAAACACATAGCTGTGAGGGGACAGACACTGTGGCTAATATGGACAGGTGCTGCGGCGCCTACTAGAGAATTGCAAGCCTCTCAGAAAGGATTGAGAGCTGTGGTGAATATGGATAGCGGTGCCTTATGTAGAATGTCCTTTCTTCCTTTCTGTTGGACACATTGTGGCGGTTTGCTCCGAGTGCCGTGGCGAAGGGTGCTTTTTCTAGCCTCTCCACCTTTGGTCTTCCATATATCTTTGCTCACTCTGGTCCTTGCTCTTCCTCTGATCAACCTAAAGTAATTGAATCTTTCTCCTTGTCATTCTTCTTCCAGCTCTTGTTATTTCCAAGACAAAGAATCTTAGAAGCATTGCACAAATAATCCCTGATTGTTAGCACAAATCAAGGTTTACTTTATTTAAGTCATATTTTCCAGCTTTAAGGGAATAACCATGCACAATTAGCTTCCAAAACCCATAAAAGAGTGTTAAAACAAGCTGAATTAGTAGGAATTTCAAGAGGTTATCACTAGGCTAACCCACCAAACTAGTCGAGTTGAATGGGTTGCTCCTGGGTTATACTAGGTCCTCACAGGTTGACCTCCACTAGTTTTTTTATTGACAACCGAACCACCTAGGTGATTGGTTGATCAAGTTTTGGTC